ATTTGGAATTACTGATGAAACTCAGAAAACGTTCATGCTGTTTGCAAAGTTCTAGCAGCAGTTACAGGAACTAAAAAAAAAATTGTTTTCATGTTTTACAAAATTCCTTATTTATAAACCTTTTAGTTCCTTCCCATTGAAAGTTACTCTTCATTATAATGGCCATATTTCAGCATTTAGCATCATTAGAATAACAAATGCCGATTTTAAGGAGTTAAAAGATTAAAAAGATGGTACTTAAAACATTATTCAAAATATTATGTTAGAAATGCCACCATGAATCCGCAAACACGCTGAGTTTCATTAAGAAAAAAACCTCTTGCATATAGCATGCTTCCTTCATACTGACAATTTATTTATTCCTTGGGCAAATGAATGAAAAAAATAGCATGAAATTTCTTATAATAGAAGCAAATTAATTCTGGGCCCCGTAAAATCAGTAATAGCCATTTATTTTAGAGGTTTAATGTTTGGCCAACAAGGTAGTCTAACATTAATGATTTGCCACCAGTCTTTCAATTAAGTGACAAAGTCAAGAATGCCAAGATCTCTAGAAGACACGCACTCACATCTTCTACAGAAACACAGAAAATTTTGTTTTCTCAATTAAAAAAAAAAAGTTACAGCAATCCCACAGAAACTGCAGAGGTAAAACAGAAAGGTGTCTTTGCAAGACCTTTACTACTCAGAATTAATCAAAGCAAAAGAGCCATCCTAGTGATAATCCCCTTTAGTGCTTCACAGTTTATGCAATAGACAATTACTAAAGAGGATGAAAGACAGAACAATCTTTGCAAATAGGTCACTGTCTATATTTACAATGACTAAAACCAGCCTGCTACTATAAGCAACTTCTAATAAGCATAAAAAGCAACATTAAGACAGCGCATGTATTTTACTCTTGCATACATTCTGTGTCTCCTGTGACAGAAGAGGAAGTCACACTCATCAGAAACAAAGTTATTTCACACAGGTTATGCATTAGCATTGCTGGAAGCAGATTTTCATTTCTGTCTGTAAAGATTTTATTCCAAAGTATCACCCTCATACAGCTAACACCTAACCATTCTTGACATGATCTCTGAACTTACCCAACCCTTTCTCTGTCTGCACGCCTTATCTCCCAAGAATTTGTGAGTAGATTTTACCTGCAAACGCTGCCCAAAGATCCTTTTCAAGATGACTTTTACTGTCTTCCACTTCTGCTTCAACTTTTCTTTCCTGTTTGGGCATGCCTGAACATGTAATTTTTTTTCTTCCGAAGAACTGTTTGGGGCTCTACTCCCAGGACCTCCCATGTGCTTCTTTCAAGTATTGTCCATCTTCTGCTACACAATTCTCCTCTTTCAAAGTTTTCCTTTTTTCCCCCACCCCTAGCCTCTCTGAGGAGTGTTTTCTGCCTTTCCTGTGGGATCAGGACATCACACCGGACACCATTTTCCTAAAATTGTATTGAATTTCATTGCTTCTCACAGCTTCAAGCATCACCACCCTTGTCAGTGATTCTTACACCCAGCTGGGCACTCCTGAACCATTTCACTCAATTCCAATCCTACCTGCAGTTACCATCTCCACCAGAGCTTTAAGGCCAGTTAAACTGGAGTTTGTTTCCTCTCAAGCCCTACTTCCTCTAATAACCTCCAGCCTTCCTATAGTTCAATGCCATAAATTAACATCTGATTCTCGATTCTTCCAATGCACCAGAGTTGCACCAAACAGCTGGAATTTCTTTGCACAAAATGTCAAGAATATTCATTACCCAGTCCTGATCTTTCTTTTGACCAGATCATTTGCTTACATCTTCATTAGCAAATTCTTCTGCTCACACTGTCATCTCTCTGTCTTTCATTTCATATAATATTTCAGCTGCTAAAAAATCCTTCCTTTATGAAGTACTTTGGAGACTCTGGATCTTCCAGTATTTCGAGCCTTTGAGCTCAAGAATGTACAGCTGCAGAACCTGCACTTCATTACTGGAAAGGAGAAGGAGGATAATCTTCAGAGAATAATGTAACCACCTCTTAGAAGAATCTCGCAACAGAAACATTCCTCTGCATCTCATACATTTGTACTCAGGATACTGAAAACACAGGGTGGGCTAGGGCTGAATACTGTCATCTCAACAGCCGCCCCTCCCTCCCCCCCCCAAAAAAATCACTTACGTGAAGGTTATTCTTGTTAAGGTCATTCTAGGTTCTACTCTTACCAATTTAAGAGAAAACACCTGTAGCTTAGGGTTTATTATAATGCAGACTGCATAAAACTGAACTCCACAGCAGGCAGGGGAGGGAGAACCACAGTCAGCCTTGTGAAGAGAAATCCTGTTTGTGCGTGAAAGCCGGGAACTTGATGTTCTCACTACAGACTAAGAGCAATAAAAACAGCTTTCTGAGCCATTACTCTTACCAATTTAAGAGAAAACACCTGTAGCTTAGGGTTTATTATAATGCAGACTGCATAAAACTGAACTCCACAGCAGGCAGGGGAGGGAGAACCACAGTCAGCCTTGTGAAGAGAAATCCTGTTTGTGCGTGAAAGCCGGGAACTTGATGTTCTCACTACAGACTAAGAGCAATAAAAACAGCTTTCTGAGCCATTAATTTCTGCACAGCTGATTTCTACTAAACAATGGTCATTATTGAAAGAATTCTAAAAAAACGGCGAGGCTGTTCCAGTGAGAAGGCTGGCACTCTGAACATCTAGACGGAGCTAACGGTGACATCAGTGCTACCACCGCTTTAATCCCTATGGCTACTAAATGTCAAACATTTTCATTGTATTTAAAGAGCCTGTGATTGCGCACGATGAGATTAAGTTACTTCACAGTTTTAAAGTCAGACAACTGCAAGGCACAGTGAGCATCCGCATTCTTGTCTCTCAAGACCATGATAACGGCAAGTTCTTCAGTAACATCACTCAAACTGCCATGCCTTTTTCACAGCTGAAACGTAGCATTTTTAGGATTTGTCATTTTTAAGCACTGCAAAAACTCCCATCCTCAGACCTTCCATAACCCAGTGAAGTCTACAAGTATGTGCATAGCTGCCCCATTCAAATCCAAAATTATAAATAGGTTGTAGCGTTAAGTACATTTGGGGGGAGTGGGAGGCGGAAGAAGGGTGAAAAGACTAAGGGTCACTGCATCAATAGTCATGAAGTCCAGTGGAAACTGAGCAGCAGGCCATATATTTCTTATTGTTTGACAAAGACACCCATGTAACATTACTTTCATCTACTTTAGAGAAGGAGATGCATCAAACTATAGTCAACAAAGTAGAAGGAACTTTAGTGCGGTAAACTATTTCAAGTAGGATGTACCTTCTAAACATTCCGTAGTATTTTCAGAATTTGTTTGGCAATTGATTACTATGGCAGTAGATGGGCTACTATACATAATTCTAAAATAAATTCTGAAAATACTATGGATATATAATAAATAAAAATAATAATAAAATAATTATTTTACCCTCCCAAGTTCTAGAGTGGCTTCTATCAGCTACAGTGAGCTAGGACACTGCTGCAAAGAAAGTACAAGAAAACTGATCAAACTTCACATTGCATAGGCAAGAAATTACTAAAAGAAGAAATTAAATCCAATCATCTTATTTATTCCTTAAATAAAATTGTCATAAAAGACACAAATATTAGAGGCATGAAGTCCCATAACTAGAGAAACTCTGAATTTCAAGAATGAGGCCAAGAGTAGAGTAGGATATTGAAAAGCTACTGATTCTGAGTATTTCAATAAATACATATATATGAGAGCTCATACAGTTCAAGACTACATAAAATCACCCAGTCAATCTTGTATTTTTAAGATCTTCCCACACTCGTTAACTAAGCAGCTTTGTCTTAATTGTGTCACAGCTCTCCACGATAAGATTTTTATTTCTAAAGTTAGCATCAACTTTTATTTGAATACCACATTTGAGTGAGTTCCTCTGAATACATGCTGGCAAGTGCGATTTACTATAACGATCAGTTTGTACCCAAGCAAAAACAGTTTCACATTACAGAGTAAGAAAGTTCAAGACTAGGGAGCTTTTAACATTAGAATTTTAAGATAACTTAACATGTCCCTACAGAAAGATGGTGGGGGGTGGGGGTATTATCTATACACACACATACACAATTATGCGTATGTACACATACAACATTGGTTCAGGAACAAACCTGGATTACAATAGACTAATTATCTTGCTTACCGGTACCAGAAGTGACCTGATTATCTAAGTCAGAGTACTAATCTTTGGGGGGGGATGGGGGAGGTCTGTTAAACAAAAAAATTAAGAAGTGAGAAGAACTCCTTTACTAAGGAAAAAGGCCATCAATGCTTGGTTTTAGCCCGAAGTGGGAGTACATCATTCCTGAGATTCTTCCATACTAATTAACAAACTCACATGTTTTGAGTTTTAATCCAGAGTGAAGTTGTGAGAAGCAGAATTGGCAAGTGTGACTCATTACAATAGGAGTCTACAAATAAAATAATCAAGCCAGAAATTAAACTCCATATAAATGTGTACAATTTAGTGTACAAATTTTTAAACTATTAAACCCAAAACACATCAATTTACAGCTCTTACGCTCTCTATACTCACACTTAGGAAAAGCTGACAGTAACTAGCATTATTGTTTCAACAAGGCAAGAAGTGAGGAGTTACTGCAGTAGGCTCCCTTCCTCTAGAAGAAACCATAACCCAAATTCAGTGTCATCTCAAAACAATCTTAATAAAGAAAGAACAAAAGCATTTCTGTAACATTCAATCACAGGATAACAAAAATGGAATGAATCCCCAAAGCAAAGTATTTCTGCAAGGAACAGAGCTACACACATCAACTGATTAGACTTCAATAACCAGTACGTTTTGAGATAAGACATTTTTACTTAAACAATCTGAATTTATTAGGAATAAACCTCAAAACAGTAGCAAGCAATTACAGCAATAAGGAAATGAAAGAACAAACACACACAAACCTACAGGGACCATTTTTTAACTTACCTGCACTTGTTCTGTGGAGCTACTAC